CGGTGTGTGGCTTTTGTGTTTGTCTTCTTCCTTCTTTTTGCTTTTTTTCTTCAGTTTTTTCAAAATTTTATTATTAAATGATAAATGATTTCATTTTTAAAATGATGGAAACAATGATTTTTAGTTAATAAAAAAAATGAAATTTGTAAATCACTGAATATAATAAAATTTCATTTGAAAACAAGAAGACTAGACAATTGGGGATTTTGAAATTATAACGTGATTTACAATTATAATACATCAAATACTATAATTGTAAATTACGTTATAATTTTATTATTACTTCACCAAAGGTTTAAGGGCTTTTACAATATTTTTTCAGTATAAGATTTTTATTTCAAATTAATCTTTGAATATATGGAGTATTTATTCGTAATGGATTACAAAATGGGTTAAATTATCTTGTTAGCAATACAGCATAATTAGTTGCTACCAACATATGAGTTTGCATCAAGAGATTTTTTTTTGTTTTGTTAAATGGTAAATATTTCATAAAAAAAGAATCGGTTCAGGATTACAATATTGATTGTAGTCCCATACAATGTATTCCATGGCAAAAAAGTTTAAAAACATGAAAACATATACCTACAAGATTTTCAGTCCGTTACTCGACACAACACAAGTGTTATGGAGCCAAACAAAGTGATAGCGATGTAGAATGTTCAACCATGGTCAGTTGGGCTAAGAAGGTCTAGGCACACACGTAGACCGCAAGGCCAAAACCAAATGCAATAGAAGTCGTTCGAGAGAGGCCCAAACAAGGGTTGTCAACGGCAAATGTCTTCAACGACCTCGATCACAGACTCCCGTGGCGTCAAGTGAGAGCGACTAGAAGAGCAACTCCATGAGCTTAACCCGAGAAGAAACATCAAACTCCAAAAGAAACGGTGCAAGCTTCCCCTACCAAAAACGTTGGCTAGTACAAAGCTAATTTTCACGATGAAGAACTGCTCCAGAAACCAATGGACTTACTAGTTCCTCTATGGCATAAGGCTGTACTCACGACCCAACACACTAACCCACACACAAACAAAGCGCCACAACCTCAAGAGGGGGACACACTCGACAACATGTCCTAATTCTACCAACAAGTCCCAGAGATACAGTAATGCAGCCCAGAGAAAAGGTAACAAAGCCTCCACCGAAAGCAGTACCCTATCAAAATCTACATCACCGCAAGAACCGAAGGCAATTCACGGAAAACATCAAAATCAATACCTCACACTGGAAGATGCCACAACGACCACACATCAGAGGATACACCTGCTATCCACAAAGCGAATCCAAACGAACCGCAGCCAATTCTTTGAGCCAATCGATAAGTGAAGAAACCTGAATCACAAAAGGAACTTTGTCCTGCAACCCATCTAAAAGAGCGAGTCCAAGAGAACGGGCTCTAGTAGCCACAGAGATAACTCGCAGGCCCTAACCAAATCAATGGTGAAGCCAAACCCGTCGCTCCTACCGAAAAATTCAAAGACCCAGAACACCTTGAAGAGAACACACAATCCTCCTGGTGAGGCTAGAGCCGCGATGCCGCCATGGCCAAGACCGTCCCCGAACAGAGAAGCTCGGCGGAGAAGCAACTAAACACCAAAGGAGAGAAAGTAACTGCAGAACTTCCAAGGGAAATTGGAAGGTTTTGAAGCCTCAACGGACGGAGAAGAGATTCACGGAAAAGGACGTCGCTCCATATCCGCTCGTAACTAGCTCCATCGCCGGAATCGAAAGGGAGGAGGTGAATCTATCCGATAGATCCAGAGGTCAGATGAAATACGCGAGGCCGGTGCTGGGTTGTAGCTGTACCCCTCCGATGACGCTTCGTCCATCGACCAGCGAGCGAATCACGGCGGCGAGACCCAAGCACCATGACGCGGCTGTCGCACACAACCCTCTCCACAATCCTCACCAAAAGAAGCAGACCAAATCTGGAGTTCGGAAGATAGAAATGTGCCGGTGAACAGAGAACGAAGAAGCAGGCGGTTGTCCTCTCACGTCGACGGCCGGAGAGGCGAGCAGATCGAAGCGGCAGCGGAAACTAGGTTTATTTTTGGGAGAGAAGGATCGCCCGCGCGTGAGCCTCACGCGCTCGACCCTCAGGTTTCGCATCAAGAGATTGACATGCTTGAATCTTAGACCTTTTTTTTTTTTTGGGTCACATAAACTTAGACTCCTTGATACTTTATTTTCTTGAATGTATTGGATTGGTTATTTATGCTTTCTGGTAAATTTGTGTGGCATAATTTGTGATGAGTATCTATTGATTAAAGTTAAAGTGATGCTATGGTGTTGATAATAGTTACACTAATATAGTTATGCCATAAATCGAGTTGGTTATATATATGGATTGTGGACATTATATTATATGTGTAAGGGATTGATTGATAACAATCAGTTATGGCTGTGGAAGATGTCTCCATCGCGATGTCATCAAGGACCTTGATCGGTTCACCGTAAGAAAATAGTTTTTCAAGAAAGTAGGGAAAACTTGTAAGATGGGTAAATTAATGCTCGGTTCACTCCAATTAGGTTTTTTTCTCGGGATTTCCTACTTACTTTGTGTTTTGCTTTGATGTTTAGTTGGGGTTTTCATATTATGTTGTTATCGACCACTCAAAAATGAGTTGAATTTTTCACCTAAGTGTTCAAACGCAATGAACCCCATAAGGGTCTTGCTAACCTTTTTCAGTTGAGAAGGCTATATTTTTCTTCTACAACGAAAGAAGTGTAGTCCTTGGTGTTGAATTTAACATTCAAACCTTCTCGTCCAATTCCAACTATAAACAATTATACAACAAAGGAGCAACGTTTTTTAGTTAACACGATTGTACACGCTACAAGGGAAATACGAGACTCAAAATGTTCAACTTTGCTGACTCTCATTTTAAGCATTTCCTAAATTTTTGAAATTGAAAATCGTTTCACATTTTACACATGAGTTTCTCTATATTAAATCAAGATCATGAGACCATATGTTCATACCTAATAGACTACTACACTCAATGGAAAGGAAAAAAAAAAACACAAATCAAGCCGAAAAAACACTTGAATTCTCGAAACCAATTATTTAACAAATGTTTACATATGATGAACCTACGAAACAGCTTTAAAATGAAAAAAAGGGAATAGTAATAACAAATAAATTGGACAAATATATATGCTATTATAATTTATTAACAAATGGCACCTAAATATCAAAAACATATTAAATTATTTATAAATACAATTTAACAAAATATAATTCCCTCTTAAACTCACATGGCACATAAAGATGCATAAATCTTACATGAAAGGCTAAAGTGATTTAAGAGATTGTTTCACAATAGTGAAGATTATCCTACAGTAGTGGCTGAGTATGCATCATCCTCGATGAAGGCTAGCTAGTCCTTTTAGAGATTTATCATCCATTACAATGATGTTTACTATGGACCCTCGAAATTGGTGTGCGTCAAAAGTGCAAAAAACCAAATGAGAGTCTCAACAACAATCAACAAGAACCAAATGATTTGAAATCACCAAGAACTATATCGAAATGAAATAAACTATAAAAGACCTATATCAAAATGAAATCAACTACAATTGTTATCGAAAAGGAAAGCTAGTCATCAAATCTCTAAAGATCTCATGTTTGAATCTGTTCAGTTGAGTTTGGATGCAGGTGAATTTCTGTTAACTTGGAGACAAAAGTGGTCTGATTGAATTTATGAGCATAACATTCAACAATTTAACGATTGTTGGGCTTATGCGTTAGCCCGAGCCCGAGCCCTAGCTGCCTTGATGAAGCATATTGATAAGTCTTTTATCAAAAAAAAATTAAAATTTGCACTAGCCAAGACCTCTTATGCTACAAAGTTAAAAAATGTCTTCATTAAGCTTGTTAACAGAACCTAACACTTGTGTTTGTTCCTTCACATGTTGAGGTTGAAGGAGGTCCATCATCTGTGCCTTTAGAGAGACAAGAAAATCCTAACGAATCTAAAGTATTTTACTCTCATCTTCTTAAACAATTTTGTATAGTTTCTGTTTAAACAGTTTTGTATTGTTTTTTTATAATTGTTTTTCTTCTATTCAATGCAAGAAATGAAGCACATGGGGAGAGTTTTCGAACGGATTCCGAGTCAAATCACAAAGTTAAACAAGCATCTCCTCACTGTTGCAGACGTGATTGTAGACACTGATCTCCTGAAGGTAATGATTTGAACTTGTACCTCTTCAGTTATGTTTTGTCAAATTTGGATATCTTTTGTTTGGTTATGTTTTGTCAAATTTCGATGATATTTTTTCTGTTTATTTGGATGATCTCTTTCTGATTTTGGTGTTTCGTTTGGTTCTGTTCAGTTGTGTTTAGATGCACGTGAAGTTCTCCTAACTTGGAGAAAGAAGCGGCCTGATTTAATTTCAGAGAATACCATTCAACAATATAACGATTGTTGGGCCTATGTGTTTGCTCGATGTATGTCTGCCGTGATGAAGCATTTTGGAATTACCGATCCCATGCGTCTCCCTACTGCAGAGAAGCTGCTCGCTCATATCGATAAAAATATTTTGTTAAAAACATTAGAATTCGCAGTGGTCAAGACCTCTGATGTTGCCTATTTACTACTCGAGAAATATGGGTACATATTGATTATCCATCGTCATCCAAGAATGGACCAGCCCAAGGAAAATGAAGATTTTGAAAAGTTCATCGAGCGACGGCTAGCCTTTGGCCCAGTGACCATGTGTTTCTTCTACGTGAGAAGTTATGAACGTTTCAAACTTAAAAATAAGTTAATTTTTAATTTATTCAAATTTCTTATGTTTTGACAGGAAA